CTTTAAACTTCCTAATTCCCGTGCTGCTTCCAGGGAGAGAAGCAGTCATTTATAATGAAGCTGGTTTAGTTATTTAAAGTTACTCAGCTACTCTGTAATTCGACTTTGGCGGGAAGAGTGTTTGCCAACTTGAAGTGAAATATTTAGACAGATGCCCTTGTCTGGTCGCCCAGCCTTATCATTTATCTTTCGGTGTTCCTACCAACCTATCAACCAGCTTTTAAAGACATGATCTCAGTACTTCAACCCTTTGAAAAATTTGGCTCTGTTTTATTAAAAAGGAAGTAATTATAAAAACTAGACACAGTGCAAACAGTGAAAACACACAAAAAAAATATTCCAGAGCCATCCACCAACATGTAATGTTTTCCACCACATCCTGTGTGACCCTCCTGTACAATTTGTTAAATGACGCCACACAAAGCCATCTAAGCTCTGAGATCAGATTGAGAAAATGCTGCTTGTCAACTGCAAAAAAAAACCCACAAAGTGGCCAGGCGCTGCGGTATAACCGTACACTGTGCTCCATTGTCTATGCAGGGAGGTGAAGAGGTGAGCTTCTAGTTTTAAGCATATAACGCTCCTTCTCCTAACATACACCCTGACCTTCTGTGCCTTGACTTAGCTAGGATAAATTGGTGGTTGCTTGTTCCATTTTCACATATCTGTTCCACCACACAGCGAGCGGTAGATATGAGACGGAGGGCTATTTATCATGTTTGTGGAAATATTCCTAGCCATTTTTGCTTTAACTCCAAAGAGAGCCACAGTGGGACTGGCTTCTTAACAATGCCCACATTTTGTTTTTTAGTGCACTGTTTCACCAAAAAGCCAATAATCCACATCTCTGTTTTCAACAAACTATCACTGGTGTGTGTCTCTGTGTGTCCAGGACTTTCATCTAAAACACACAGACAAACCCAAATTCAACAATAGTAACTGGTAACGCAACTGGCGTTTTAAATGTCAATACAGCTCACATTTAAAAAGAAGACTTATACTGTCACTATTATATTACTTTAAAGCTGAACTCCAGACATGTCTAACAGGGTTATTCACAAAAGGGTAAAGAGTTTGGAGAAGGCAGGAGAAGTGAACAATCTAGCCTAAATAGCTGATTTGGAAAAATTCTCCAATTTAGCTATGTTGTCCTAGATTGTTCACTTCTCCTGCCTTCTCCAAACTCTTCACCCTTTTGTGAATAACCCTGTTAAAGATAACCATCAATCCGGTTATGTATTGTTTAAAAAATAATTTGTTTTACAGGCAGCTAGTGTAAGTACACAAATCTGTCTTAATTTTAGCTTCCTGTAGTCCCCTGCATAACAGTACTGGGAGAGTGAAGCCAGGTATAAAATCCAAAATGCACTGAACCCATTGCACTCCTGACCGAATAATACCCTTAGAGTCGGGTGGGTGCCAAAGTGACTGCAGCTGCCTCTGCAATCCAAGATAAGTGTATGTATAAAGTCACTCGCACTCCAATAGAATTTCAAGTCAAAAACGGTTTATTGACTCGATTGCTATCACATCATATAGCGACTTTTCGGAACAACAGCGGTTCCTTCTTCAGGGAGGAGAACATAACGGACTCCTCCAACAACACTTACGAGTGTTGATCGAGGAATATCCTGCTGTTTCTAGTACTGCCGGGCGCTGTCAGTATACCTGATTGACTGCCAGCTCCGTTCGGTGGAGAATTTTCCAGCCTGCTCCTTCGTTCTGCTAACCAGAAGGGTGTCAACAACGGCACCCATTGTGCAAATGTCGGCTGGTTCATCAGGAACCAGCCAAAATCTGTACTAAGTACACCTGACTTGAGGGTAAGCAGAGTGAGACAAGCAGGTTCTACTGCAGTATACAGAGTTGTCAAAATTGGAAGCTTGCTGACAGAGTAAGGATGTGCATTCATTAGCCAGGCAGCAAGCACTGAAGAAGAATAACAACCTGCTTATTATTTCTGTTAGAGGTACATGGAACCAAAAAAAGAGAATAGCAGATCAGAATTATTTTATTGGTAGGTAACAGATTTCAGTCATATGTACTTGAACCGTTTATCTGTTTCTGAGGTTCACATTTAATAAAGAATCCCCACATGATGGTTTGAAAAGGTACAGACGTGGGCTAGCCCTTCTCCATGTTAAATATGCACTGGTGTTAAGAGGATACTACTTTCTATTTAAAGTATCTACTCCTTTAAAAAATATCAAAACAGTTCATACTCTCCCATGCTGCAAATCTTTGCTCTCTTGCAGAGTTATGCTTTCAGCAAAATCTTACCATCTGACACTTCTGGGTGTGTTGGAGGCCAGGTCTTCCACACTACAAGCTGTAGTTTCAACCGCCACAGTATTGCCGGTAGATGGGACCACTTTCGAAGGTGTCAAATGTGAAGATTTTGCAGGTTGCAGCTCTTGAACAAAACGAAGATCAAAGGATCGTGCAGTGGGACACGTGGCTATCAGTGGTTTTCATTTGGCAGTAGTGTGTTTTCACATTTTTAAAACCATGACAGCGCGTGTGTGTGTGTATTAAAAAAACTTCCAGGGGCTTATGAGAACTGAAGTTATTTTGGGCAGTTATTAGTTATAAAGTAATTTTTTCTAAATGTTTCTCACTTTCTGTTCCGTCTATCTTCCCGCCAAGACTTCCTTTTTACATCAAACAAAAGCTGTACTTGGCTTTATAGACATAGCAAAAGTAAACACAGTACCAAATATATTAAGTTCTGTGGGAACTTTTACAGACTTATTTTTGTAGCGTATCAGTAGCCTATACAAGCATCTTCTAGTTTGTGGTAGCACAACACATAAAGCAAACGAAATAAAAGTAAAACTGGCATTTACTGTAGACCAACACGGAGTGCATGAACACTAACAAAGCACTAGATTTATAGCGTAGCTGGATAAACTACTGAACAATTCAGGGCGCAAGGAGTCCAATCTAGGATCCAGAAGGCAAATGTTAAGGAGCCCAGGAACATGCTCTTACAATAAAAACATAGTAAGTCTAAAATAAAAGCTAGGCGCCAGTCAGGGCTGGGTTTCCATGACTGGAGCCTGCAGACACAGGGCCTCTGGTGACCGTCCTTCTTGTATATTGGTCCTATGCTGGTATGTATGACAATGTGTAAAAAAGCATATGAGATGTCTGTATTTCTTCTGATGGGAAATAAATGTGTGGCCAAAATCAAACAGGGTAAATTGCCTGTTTGCTTCTACTACCTGTTGCGAAAGCCTATTGTGCATAATGGTTAATCTGGCCCTAATGCCAGCTTTTGTAGACACATTTGTTAGCTGAGGCCAAGACTGGCCAAATCCAAGCCAAAAAACTTCTAGCGGTGGGTAATTTTTGTGAGTATTTTCTACCTTCTGCCACTCACTACATTTAATTGCTTCAGACTTGGCCAATTTAGTGGTTAAGATACTAGAAATACCAACAAGCTTAGGGAGCTTCTACAGTTTATATGTTTGATCTTGTAACTCCTTGCACATTGTATCTATAAACATCTACATTCCCTTTATATATTTTTCCTAGATCTTAACATGTTCTTAAATATGCACTTCTAATGGACTTTTTTAATAAGGTAGTATCAAAAAAATACTTGCACTTCTTTACAAAACTAGGCAGTTTTTGATGTTTCAGAGCAGAGGAAATTTAAAAAAAATCACATGGACAACATAATCCCATATTCCCAAAACAGTCCCCCCTTCTCCAAGCTCTTTCCTTCTTTATTGTACAGTGGGTGCATGCCTCACTTCCTGTCTAAATACAGGATAGGAAGTCAGCTCCAGAATTCACCTCCCACACTCAGCTTCCTATGTGTACACACCTCCGTATGCTAGGAAGTTAGCCATTTAGATTAGCTTAAAAGGTGTGTTTACGATCAATATATAGATTTCGTCCTAAAACATAAAACAGAAAATGTGAGGGCACAGTTGCACTGGAAAAGCATATAGATAATTGGACTCAAAACACATAAATTAACAGAAAGGGTCAACTCAACCAACAAAGTTCAATGCCAAATCAACAAGGGGTCTCAATGTTACCAATAAGGAAAGAGTATGCTAATTCAAAATGTAGGGAGCATCACCAACATCCACATAGCATGTTAAGGCAACGTCCGCATAAGAGAAGTTCACCTACAAATTTATGCAAATACAAAGAATAACAAAAAAAGAGGTACAGACATTATTGTTCCGCTGTCCCAAAGCCTCAATGCAGGAACATCCCAAATGAATAGCTAAATGATAGCAGATTGAAACTCCACACAGACTCCAAAGGCATATAGAATCTTCCAATAACCATCGTTATTCATAATACCAACTGTGCAGCAACAATGGCCATATATTCCAGCTATGTGTGGTCTTCTAGCAGAAATTGCATTAAAAAAAACAACACTGATATGGTTTTGTACATAAAAGAAACATACAAGGACATTACCTGTGCTTTGCTTTTATGTAAGGAGCCTGATCCCACATGCTACATGATGCCGCGGCATTGAAAATGCCAAACTAAGACTTTCCAGGGATTATAGTCAACAATCTCCCTCCTTTCCAGCACTGGCTGTACGTACATATCCATGTGTCCAGGCCACATAAAACCATGTCAATCCAAAACAAAATTTACAAAAGAAAAGCATACCCTGTGCATCAATGGTGCAAGCAACTCTGGCATGCAATTATATGGCACTAAATTGGGATTTTGCTCACAGATAGCAGTTTTGTTTCATCAAAAAGCAAGGTTTGGAACCATTGCTCCCACCAATATACTAAATCCACAAATGAATAGAGGTTACACCTTAGCGTCCACCATAACACTAAAACAGAAGGATGCCACAATAGAGCCCATCGTTACTTATGCAACCAGAACCTACGGCAATATACTCAGCAAAGGTCTTAAACCTTTGTCAATATGCCAATCTATTAGACATACAGATTTGCTTTTACAATTCAATATTAAAATACAATATAATTTAAATCCAGTGCCTTGTGGCTTACCTTGACACTCCGGTGGTGTATCCTTGAAGGCTGGCATTTAACACTGCTGGTATTGCAGCAGCCTGTGCAACGTTTCACCTCCACACAGGGCGGCCATATCAGAAAGTTTGCAGATGTTGGGTCTATTTGGCTACGAGGTATCTCGTAAATAACAGTCCTTGTTTTGCAGACAGCAGGAACAGCTTCCTCTATGAAAATAAAAAGAGCAGAAATAAACGATCCCTTCATAAACGGCAGCATAAATTTGCATAGAAACTATTCAGGCTAGTTTATGGAAATTGGTTAAAAAGCTATTGACCAAAACATCCTCCCTGAATTATTGTTGAAAACTGGCGCTCTGTGTAATCAGAAGACCCATTTAAAGAAGATCTTAACCCAATCGACAAAATCTCAGACACTTCAACCTATTAAGCACTTTAACCTGTTAATTTAATTTTCAAAATGCTCAATCTTTTTAAATACACAAGTTTTAATTTAAAAATATCTGGTAATCTTGCTATAAAGGTCTTTATTCAGGCACTTGCTGTTAAGGAGATGACAGCTGTCTCCATCTGTGCTTTGTCACCCTTTCTCATGCACCTGTGGTTAAAACTACAAGCAGCCCTGCTGACGCGTATAGCTCAGGCTTGTTTTATCATTGTCATTTGGTTCAACCCTGTGTCTGTGGAGGATAAACCAAGAAATAGCACACACAACCCTGTGTCTGTGGCAGGATAAACCAAGAAATATCACACACAAAGACTGCTGGTAAGGATGCTACATGGCTAAATAAACCTTGACGCTTTGCTCACATTGTCTAGTATGTGTTCCTATCATCACCAGCATTCAAGCCCTGATGTAGGGGAAGTTGTCAGCCCGCAAAACGTGTTGACTTCATCTACTGATCTTTTATGAAGATTAATACACGTTTAGTGGACTTATCATAAACGTGTCTCCTCTTTTACAAATCTGAATATATCTCACCAAACATAAAAGCATTCTTACCAAAAATCTCCTCTGCAAAGTTTGCATAATTCGTAGAGTACTCTAGAAATGATGGCAACTTTGCAGAGGAGATTTTGGACTTATTGCACTTAATTTATTCCACAATCTGAAAATGTTTAATATTAAACAGCAATGTGATGGCCAGCCAGGTGAGGGGATAGATGCCAGTGGAAGCCTATGCCACTGATGAGGGCTGTAGTGTTCACTTCTGGGTCATGTTAGAGGGGTGAGGCATGTTAGAGGGGTGAGCATATTCACAAGTTCAATGTCCTCTATCACTAGCGAAAGTCACTACATCACTGCTTATAATGAAGCCAGATCTTAAAAATAGGGAGGCGACAGTGGAACATACCACTGGTTCAGCCAGAAAGAGAGCCAACTTCATAGCATACTGAAAGTCCATTTTAGTGGATCTGCACATGGTAAGGCGTCATTATGTTAAATAAACTTTGCATTAGATATGGACCTATACAACCCCATGTACGGTTTTGAATTATATATGCAGGGCTAAACTCCCAATGCTTTTGAATGGGAATTCGTCTTTTTTTTTCTGTTTTCTGACATCGCTCGTGTCAGAATAAAGAAAAAAAAAGACACAGCAGGGTTTCTCTTCTTGGCGGCCGGGAGCGGGGGGCTCCCAGAGCGCCCGGGGGATTTTTTTAATTTTTTTTTTTTTTTTACAGCAGCAGAGCCGCCGGACAATAGGAAACTATTGGGCGGAGCTAGCTGTCACTGCTAGCTCTGCACAATCATTTTCTATTAACTTTTTTCTACTTTTTTCACTCTTTTTCTGTTCTGCTCGGTGCCTCTGAGGGACCGAGCAGAACAGCTGAGCCAAATGCCGCTCGGCGGCATTCGGCTATTCTCTCACTGCTGTTCGGGATCTTTCAGAATAGCCCGAACAGCAGTGTGAAGCCTGCCGGAGGTTCGGCTCAGCCGATCTAGATGTTGGATCGGCTGAGTCGAACTCCTTCTGCACTTCAGGTCAGCCGAACATGCTGAGCATGTTCGGCTGATCCGAAGCCACACAAAGCAAGCAGATGTACGGCTGATTTCAGCCGATATACGGCTGAAATCAGCTGTACAAGCCTGAAGTGAATAGCCGAACAGTGTTCGGCTCACTTCACTTCTGATCGGTCATTCACTCGGCTGCCCTCGGCAGCTTTGTGAATAGACCCCTCATAGTGCACATAGCTGAGCTGATTCAGGTAGTCTTCCTCTCCTGGTGGTGGAGGGAGGAGGGGGTAAAGAGATGAATCCCCCATGTTTTGTAAGGTGAAGCCTCTCTTCAGGTTCTGAGCTGCACACATTTCCAACCGCCCCATAGCAGCTCTGCATTCTTCCTCCCAGCCTATGGCAGAAGAGGTGGGCAGACAGAAGAAGCTGTAGGTGGCCGGAGGAGCCGAAGTGAAGGGAAGACAGCCAAACTTATTCTTCTCCTCTTCAGGTGCAATGTAGCTTCAGCGGCCGAGGAGGAGAAGGGAGAACAGATCGAGCAATCGCCGCTACGGAAGAGGCAGTAGTTTGTCCCCCTACTCCTCCAGCCCCCGGGTTCTGTCGGCGGCACTAAACCAATGAATTTCCACTCACTCCCGCGCAACTTTTACTCGCCAATTGCGAGGGGGCGAGTGGAAATTTTGAGCCCTGATATATGTATACATGTATGTATACAACATTACACTGTGTAGAAGCCAAAGGTCTTCACTGATGAAAATATGACAACTGGAAACTGAGGGCCAACGCCGTTTTTTCCCCCAGACAGCGTCACAAATCAATTCCACAAGGTAGAATATAAATAAAAACAACAGACCACATTTACTTAGTGCTATTAACCCCCGCACATACTTCATGTACCAGTCAAGATCGTGAGTCATCAAAACACCTGCCAGCTATCCCAGTCAAACAATTTGTCACCAACGTCTTACTAAATATATTCTGAATGAGTGTGAAAGTACAATCTATGTGCTCTGTGAGAAGTGCTTCAGACAAGCTGAGCAATGATGTGTAGTTAGCACACTAAGAATGTTTATTGGCTGCAGAGATAAACTCAATCTCTGAGCATGAAAAGTGCAATCTATATTATGTTACAATTATTTATGTACTTATTTATTTAGGCAACAGTGTATGAAGCAGGTCAAGGTAACTTTTATTTTTTTTTGAGCTATGTAAAATGTGTTAGCCAAAAAAAAAAAAAAGTTTTTCAAAAAATTTCCAAAAGAATGTTCTACGTGCTTTGTGTAAGAAACTGCACCTGGCATACTTGTAATGCATTTAGCCGAAAGGCTCAGAACACGAGCACTGTTTGCGCAACACTGGTGGAGCTTCGAGATGATTTCTATAGCCCTTATTCTTGAAAGTAGCTCCCTAGCACCTTTAAAGCTGATCAGCATATACGGCTGCCAGTTGCCTTTAATCTTTTTCTATTCCTGCTCTCCATAGAAGCCATGGTCTATTCCTACTCTCCATAGAAGCCATGGTCTATTCCGACTCTCCACAGAAGCCATGGTCTATTCCTACTCTCCATAGAAGCCATGGTCTATTCCGACTCTCCATAGAAGCCATGGTCTATTCCTACTCTCCATGGAAGCCATGGTCTATTCCTACTCTACATAGATTAATGATCTTGACGTCACTATGTCCTCTGAATATGCACTGCCATGTCACCCATTTCACAGAGCCTGTCTTCTGAACTATACAGGTGCTGAAGAAGAGGAGATTCAGGAGGCACATCATCAGTGCCTACAGCCAACAAGGTACCAAGGGATATGTAGCCTTTAGAAAATAAAAGTAAACCAAAGGAATGAGCAGGGGAGCAGGAGAGGAGAAGCCACAATGCATGCAAGGAATTCAGGAAGTTGTTGAAAGATGCCCAGCAGACAGGCAGCATTCAAAACATGAACGGAGATTTTTCAAGTAAGCTTATATTGAGTTGCCAAAATAACTATTGTGTCTATTGCTATTACAATGCGGATGTATAAAATAAAATACAAAATGCAATTACTTCTATATTGCTTCCCTATAAAACTCTGGTGTTGCATTATAAAAATTAAGTACATTCGTTTTCAGGGACACAGTTTATTTTTAACTTGTTTTTTAGCACTGAAAGCCATGCACAGAAAACTACTACACCCTGAGCCAAAAACAAGTTAAAAATAAACATCCATGACATTTAACCTACCCCTTACAGTTACAGGCATCTAACGTACTCATAAGTGTCAGATACTGATAATATGAATTATTAGCATACATTTTTTTTAAATAAGAGGAAGAATGAAAATGCACATCAGGTATTTGCCCTTCCTTACCAATGCTTCGCTTCCTGCGAATAGGCACAGACCTCTTCTCCTGTACATGTCTGTTGTGATAGAAATTGTGTGTCTGGGTTTTTACGTTTCCTCCAGAAAAATCATCATTCCCTGCAGAGGAGAATAAGAAAATAACATCAGTATTTCAGACTAAAAGGATCAAAGCGTCTGTTTAGTTTAAATCCAATAAAACACTTTGCCTCCATATAAATAGTGAAGGATTGATGCATTTGATAAGGCATCCGGAAGCAAGTCTTTACTGCATTATAAGAAACAAGCTGTAATACAACAAGAGGACTATGTGGAACTTCGATGCAACAAGAACATAAGAACCTCTTGATTAAAAAAACAACACATTTACAGATGGATCAGGCTTTATTGTGCTGTGGCAGAAGATTTGTTAAACAAGACCCAGCAAAAGAGGAGGAAAATGATGAATTCTGTGATGCCTTTAAGTAACCGGTTTCACTAGGCCAAAAGATACTGCAAAATAGAAAAATGCCTCAGGTCGGGTACCCACAAAATGCACAAGCCACTGAAATGTTGCAAGAAACCTCAGGTTCTCTACACATGCAGAAAATGCAACCTCGGCGCCCCAAGTACAATGAGGCATTGCAAGAATCTGACAGCCATAGACATGACTCCCAGATGCAGAGGCATTATAGGATTTGTCGTTTCATCACATCACAGCTGAAGTGCTGAGGTTGCTTACCCCCGCTTTTTACCGACAAAGCTATGTAAGCTGAAATCCTATTGGTTGCCATGCCTTTCTGCATTCTGTTCATAAGTTTGTCTTAGTGCTATTACTTAATGGGATAAAAAAAAAAGAAGGTTTATTGCCTGTTTTGAAAATCTAATTTGCGCCAGAAGCAGCCTTCAGTTACATATAGCTGCAAAGAAATGTGCTAAAATTATTAACCTAAAGCAATTCATAACTACGTAAAACGCAAATCTCGCACAAAATGGATTTACAAGAAAGCATATAATGGTATGAGCATATGGATTCCACACACTGCTATATTGACATGCAAAATGAGTGAGAGAGAGAGAGAGATAGGGAAATAGGAGGAAGAGAGAGGGGAAAGAGAGAGAATAAAAGAGAGAGAGAGAGAAAAAAACAGCGAGAGAAGAAGAGTAAGAGAGAAGAAGAAAAAAGGAAGAAAGAAAAGAAGACGAGAGAAGAAAAAAGAAAAGACGAGACAGAAGAAGAAAGAGTGAAAGAAGAAAAAAGAGAGAAAGAAAAGAAGAGAAAAAGAAAGAGAGTGCAAGAGTATTAGAGAGGAGAAAGTGAGGGTGAGAGAAAAAGAGGGGAAGAATGAGAAGAAAAAGAAAGAGAGAGAAGATTAAGAGAGAAGAAGAAAGAGAAGAAGAGAGGCGAGTACAGAGAGGAAGAATGAGAATAGGTAAAAGAAAGAGGGAGAAGCAGTGTGATAGAGCCAGAGAGAGTGTGTGAGAGGGATGGAGAGAGAGGGGGGGGAGAGAGAGAGATATGGGGGGGGGAGGGGGAGAGAGAGGGGGGGG